AAATGGTTTACAAAGTACTAAACTCTTTCTCTCTCTTTCATTGCTCTCAACTTACAGATAGAAGAAATTTCCCATAGCATAGAGGCGTTATGAAAACGCCTAGCGATTGATACAGCCAAAGGAATATAAATTGCAAGTAAGCAAAGTTATGATATAGTAGAACCCATTTCTCGATATCTATCTCTCTCTTTCACTCTCATGAATACAATGTAAATCTGTTTCAGAATTTCTTGCTTGCTGGGACTTTGGCAACAATCTCAATGGTGGGCGGATACACACGAGTGACTTCCAACTATCTTCCACTCCAAATCCCTTCGTACTCCCCAGCCCTGTCCCCCCTAGACGAGCGCTACGGCCTAAGATGTCTGACACAGTTGCCAGCGAGCGTAACGCCCCGGCAAATGGAACTTTAAGCGATACGATTGAGTCTATTGAGGATGCCCAGCTGTTGCTTGATTCGAAATCGAATTCGAAATCGAAGCTATTCAGCGATTATATAGTCCAGGAGGAGCCATTGAAGATTGTGGAGCCGAGCGATACGCTGGAGAAGAGTGTGCAGGAGAAGGATAAGGATAAGGAGAAGGTGAAGAAGTGTGTCACATTCAATCCGAACGATGAGAAGATACGCAAGTTTACCACGGGCGAGCCCATTATCGATCAGCAGAATCCCTTCAAGAATGGCCTCATAGACAGCAGTGGCAAGAAGAAGACGCCGCCGCCGGTGCCCACCAAACGATCCACGCTGAGTGTGAGAAAGACGGTGACGCAACAGTTGCGTGAACGTGAACGCGAAAAGGAGAAGGAACGCGAGAAGCTCAAGGAGCGCGAGCTCGAGGAGAAGTCCCTGAAGGACAAGGAGCGCGAACAGCTCAAGAACGAGGCGAACAACCGCAAGAAGGCTGAGCTCGTGGGCGACGATTTCATCACCACCGAGGAGGTACTTAAGCAATCGAAGTATGTGAAGACCTATATCAAGAATCCGGATGCGTATTTCGTCTATGATCCCACGGTGCTGGCGCGTCTGAAATTCGAGGAACTGCGCGAGATATCGGGCAAGCCGCCCAAGCGTAAACAGGCCTGGACGAACGGGCAGCAGGCGGCGCATCGGCCCAGGGAGGCGAAGACGCCGGCAACGAAGCTAGCGAAGCAGCAGGAGGCTAACGGTAAACCGAAAACGGCCACGTTCAAGAAGTGCTCCAAGCCCAACTATCCGGAATTGGCCAATCTGAAAATCCGCACGGGCACCGACACCAACGGCGTCTACTTCAATCCCGCCGAGGTGACCAAGAATGCCAAGAAGTTCGACGAGCGCGTGAAGAAGCTACAAATCAGTTCCGACGACGATCTGGACGAGATCGACGGCCCCTTGACCAAGAGCGAGTCCAGCGACGAGCTGAATCAACCGAGTGCCGAGGACGATCCAGCCACGATGACCACGAATACAAATGGCAAGGCGAATGGCAGTGGAAATGAAAATGAAAATGAAAATGGGAATGCCAATGGACACGCTCCGGGCACCTTCACCAACACCATCAGCTCCGAGGAGTTCCAGGCGTATCTGGAGCGCAAGGGCCTGGCGCTGATGCCCAAGCGGGAGATCAACAGTCCAACGCCCACGACGACGCCCAAGTCGACGCCGGCAGTGACGCCGACGGTGACGCCAACGCGTGCTACGGCCGAGGAGCGGCGTCAGCAGGTGGCCGAATCCTTGGCAGCATTGCGCAAGAGCAATACCAAAAAGCTGTCCGTGCTGCAGCGCCTCTCCAACAGTCTCTTTGCCCCGCGCCGCAAGACCACGCCCAAGGCCGTGCTGCCGGCACCGCGCAGCGTCTACGGCGACGCTGCGGAGCAGAAGCAACTGAAGACGCCCGCTGAGATGCGACGCATCCTGCTCGAGAACCAGCCGAATGGCCAGTTGAGGCAGGAGCTGAGGCAGCCCCAACCACAGCCACAGCCACGCTCCAAGCCCACGCTGGAGGCCCGGCTGGAGCCGGTGCCGTTCCAGCGCAGCACCGTGGAGCGTCAGAGTCTTATCCCGCGCCGCGTCTCGCCGCCGGAGAACAATCTGAGTCGCTTCACGCGCTCCGCCTCCATGGACCGCAATCAGATCAAGCTGCACGGCCAGCGCACCCTGAGCCGGCTGGAGAGCGTGGGCCAGCGCCGTTCCGTGGCCTCCAACGAGGAGCGCAGCAGCAACAGCAACAGCAATGGCAATGCCCGCAGCAACAGTTGCAGCTATCCCATTGCCACATCGACGCCAGTGCGCAAGGCTCTGGAGACGCAGTCGAGCAATCAGAATGAGTGGGAGCAGCTGAGGGCGATCAAGGAGGTAACCGATAGACAGCTCTACAACAAGGTTATTCAGCAGCAGCAGCAGCAACAGCAACAGCAACAGTTGCAGCGCCAGCGCCAACGCCAGAGCGAGGAGAACATTTATGAGCATCTGCAGTCGCAGCAGCTGGCGGCGCCGGCGGCTTTTGTGCGCGGCTCCGTGCAGCGCAATACCTACGCTGGCGTCAGTGGACGCAATCGCCAAATGCTGCAACAGCAACAGCAGCAACAGCAACAACAGCAGCAGCAGCAACAGTTGCCCGCGCGCTGCCAGAGCGTGCTGGACGAGCTGATAAGTCCGCCGGAGCGGGGCATGCGGCGCGGCTACGAGAGTGAGAACGAGAACGAGACGCCAGTGGTGCTGCGACGCAAGGAGTCCAATGCCGGGCGACGCATCGGCGGCCTGTTGACGCGCGACGAGATCCTGGAGAAGGTGAAGGAGTTCTGCCGCAAGTCCATCAATCGTACGCCAGCGCCGGCGGCCAAAATGCAGCCCATCTATGAGCGTCACAATGGCCAGCAACAGCATCCGGCGGACATTTCGCCCGTGTCGTATGCCTCCGTGGAGACGCACAAGCGTCCCGCCTCCCAGCTGAGTCTGGCGCGGCCCCAAGTGCCGCTGCGTGTCCAGAGTCTGCCGCGCTCCAGCTACGCCGCCGCCGCCTCGCCCATCTATGCGCACGTGAACAAGCGCAACAGCCTCCTGTCCAACGAGTCCGAGCAGTACGTGTCCAATCAGCAGCTGCTGCAGCGCCAATCGCTGGTCACGCTGACGCCCACGGAGTATGTGCTCATCCAGACGGAGGATGGGCTGCAGGCGGCCAAGCTGATCACGGACTATCAGCACAATAGCAACTTGTATATGCAGCCGCAGTATATACGGGCGAGTCCACAGGGCTACGTGCGCATCGAAGAGCTGGCAATGGCACAGCAGCAACAGTTGCAGCAGCAACAGCAACAGCAGCAGCAGCAACAGTTGCAGCAACAACAGCAACAGCATGGCCGTGCCACGCCCCTAATCCTTGATCGTGCCGGACAGCAGACAAGCCAAATATATTGGACGCCGCAGCATCAGCGGCTGCAGCAGACGCATCAAGCAAATCAAGTGAATCAGCTGACGCTGCAGAAGACACCGCGCATGTATCCAGTACCGGCGCCCAGGCTGCACATGCCACAGGGCTATGTCCTGGCGAATGGCCAGGCATATGCAACAGTTATGCCGGCGCCAAGAAATCAGTCGAACAGGCAGCAGTCGGTCAGGAATGCGTCCAATTGGGATTGCAGCTCGGAGGCGGGCGAGATAAGGCGCATACTAGATAAATCGTTGTAGGGTAAGTTAATCAAATTGTTTAAGAATAGCATAAGTGGCTAATATGTGGGCAAATTTAAAAATTGCGCCTTAAAAAAGTTTACGTGTGCCCGTTTATACGAACACACACCGAAAATGACTTAAAAAATACCCAAAACTACAGTATCGAACAGTGTTATCGATATATCGTCTCGTAGCGCAAAAAACATCTGCTTGATTGTGTATTGTATCTATGTGCGTGTAGTCCAAACACAAAGGTTGACGCGTTAGGTAGGAAATTGCGACGTACGTCCATAGCAGCGGCCAGCTGCAGACAGAGTTATTATCTACATTTGTGAGTTAACAACAATTGTCAGAAGATTCAAGGTCCTTCACTTATCAGGCGACAGCTTGATAAATCTGAATATTGAGAAAACCAAACGACGCAAGCACTAAAGTGAATTTCTAAATGTGAACGCGTTCACACACATACACATAAGCGCTGTGTGTACATATATATGCATTGTTTTTAAACGAATCTGGTGAGTATGGGTTCAAAACAAACCGAGTTATCTATGTGTGTGGGTGTGTGTGTGCGTGAGTGCATGTGTCAGTGCGTCCACGTTTAGTACGTGCATTTGCACAACAAATGCAGAAATTTGCGTAATAACAACACACACACACATGCATGCACATACGGTGTTGTTATAATTCTAAAAGAAAAAAATACACCAAATCGAATCGCTAAATTTTTAACTTAAACTGTCAAACACATTCGAGACCTTTCACGCAAATGTACAATAAATATATTCCCAGGTAAAGATACATAGATATATACACATACATACATACAAATTTATATAGTCCGAGGCCCGGACAAAACAGCAGTAAATTCGCGCACACACACATGCACATGTACCTGCAAGTGCCAACAGTGCATGCATACATATGCAAATAAATACACACATACATACATACATGCATGAATGCATTAACATGAGCAACAGTGCAGCTCAATTCCTCGAGCTAAATACATGAGACTTTAAAAGAATATATATAAATTGTATGTATTTAAAATTTAGAATAAAAATAGACAATTTATAAACAAAAAATTGTGTTTAAAAAAAATGGTATTAACTAATTATTATATGAAATTTAGCCATGTGTCAAGAGTCAATCAAAATAAATAAGTAAAAAATAGCTATTAACTCTAAAGGAGCATATTTTACACAAAACAGACAGCAAAAGATTTAGCTATAAAACAGCGCATTTGAAAGTCATTAAATAGGTATTTAACAAACCACATTTACGCACTAAGACAGACTATCTAACATTAAATTCGAAATAGAATAAATGACTATAAAACAGTCGCACTTTACAGTCAACAGTCAATCATCAAATGAATATATATATATATGTATATGTATAATAATAATGAAAAACTGATTCAGCACTAAAACACATTTTAGGCTGAAAACAGTCTACTATAAAGAATAAAATACAAATACATATGTATATAACACAGTCAAATCACAATCTAGTTGGGAAGTAGGCTTTTGTAAGAACTGTCAGTAGGAAAGTAGGCCTTTGCAAGAACAGTCAGTGTAGGCACGCTCGCTTAACAACACTGTTCAGTATCAGTCCCAAAAATAATAGTTGTCGACAACAATTTGTGAAAAATATTTTACCAAAAAAAAGAAAAAGAAAACATTTAAATATTCGCGCTAAAAAGCACTGCAATTCACTTAACAAATATTCGCATAAAGAATAATAAATTATTTGCAAATATTTGTTCAATAAATAAACAAAGCCAAAAAGACGTTGAAGTAATCTGCGTAAGAAGCAGCGAAATTCAGCTATAAACTCACAGGTTTGCCAGCACTGTTGAGCAGAGGCCGTGGCTAGTGACGCCACTGGCCATTGGCCCATTGGCTAGCTATAATTCTAGAGCGCCACGAAGGTCAATACGAAAATATCTTTGACTTATTCTGTTTCTTGTATGCATTTTTTCAGACAAAGAGGCAAACAACGACGACGCAGCATGGATGAGGAGCAGACCAAGAGCAGCAGCAGCAGCAACAGTAGCAGCAGCATCGTCATGGACGATCAAAGCAACGCCGGCAACAGCAACAGCGACAGCAATCAAATCAACAGCAACATAACCAAAGCACCGGAGCAGATGCTACCCATTAGTACATCGTCATCGTGGACGATCTTACCACCAGATAGAATCGAGTTTCTTGAGGCAAGCAGCAGCAGCGAGGAGTTGGAACAGCAAGCTAAGGCAAAGGAGGACGAGCAAAACAATGCAGAGTAAGTGCCACAGAAGAGAGAGAGGAGAGATACACAGTATATGTATATATAAAATCTCGATATTCACAGATGCAAGCTCGTCGAGGATGCAGACACCCAGGCCGAGGACGTCTCCGATGGCATATCGATAATCAGTGACTGCGAGAGCACTGGACGCATTTCGCCGCATCCCTTTCTGCGCGAGCATCTCAACGAGCTCAGCTTCAAGTTCGATGAGGGCCATGGAGTGCCGCTGGTGGCCAATATGCCCAATCTGAATGCTGGCCAGGAGATGCGTGAACGTCGTCGCCGTGCCTCAAACCCCATCTTGCACCTCAAGAATAATGTGGCTCAGCCAGAGGCCCCGTCGACAGACATGCAACGTCGCCATCGTATGCTGCCGCTGGTGCATAACGGATTGACAGCCGTCTTCTATGTGGGCGCCACTTTGGCCGTGCTGGCACTTATTGGCCGGCTGCAGAATCCCGAGTGGAAGGTGCTCTGCGGCAATGAGCCCGTTCCGGATGTGGCCCAGCGTCTGGAAGATCTGGAGTTGCAGAATAATCTGATGCGTGCCGAGATTGATATCATGTCCAAGCAGCTGCTTTATCTCAGCTCCATAAATGGACAGGGTCACGGTCCGGGCCAGGGTCAGGGACAGGGTCATGGTCATGGTCATGGCCACGGTCAAGGCCAGGCTCAGCCGCGCAAGCCGAAAACATTCAAGGCCTGGCCCGGCAACGGCGACTCTGTGGAACCGGTGGACATTACCAAGGCGGACCTGAAGCGTCCGTACAAGTGTCCCGATGGCAAGTATGTGGAAATCGCCGCCATGTGCATGGAAATAAAACCGCATGCCGAATCTCTAGCCGATGAGATTGGTGATGCGGTCAACGATGTGCTGCGGCAATCTCAAGCTTTTCACGACTTTGAAAAGGTCACCGAGCGGCTAGGCACACTCGCTGGCGAGGAGGAAACGCCCACTCCCACACCCGATGACGGTGCCAGCGATCCATCCAAAGCTTTCCATGTGCATGGCGACAAAATGCGAGCTCCGCCCCTCGAGGCCAACAAGCAACGCTATACCAACGGAGATGCATCCAAGGAGCGCTACAAGACCAAATACAACAACAATGCAAAGTGGCAGGACTCCAAGGAGCACAAGTATGATTCCAAGGAGTACAAGTACAGCTCGAAGGAACGCCGCAATCGCATGCATCTGGACAACTCCAAGGAGCAGCGTCACGGTAGAAAGCAGCGCCATGATGGCGACGACGACGACAGCGCCAGCGGCGAGTGGCACGAGCGCATGATGCAGCATCGTGAGAACGCACGCCAGCGTCATGACAAGAAGCGCAACAACAATTGGTTCATCGAGCGCGGCGGCGGTCGGGAGCAGATCCGCTCCAGCGAGACGCGACGTTAGGGCAAGGCAGGAGTCACGGGCAGATATGGGGCAAGGGCATTGGGCGAGGGTAGTCTGAAAAGTTGACAATTTATGGCTAGTGTTTCAAGTTGTCAGAACTGCCCTCTTAGAGTGGGTATACGACAGGGTATTGGGGATCTGTTCTGATTGTTCGCATATTTTGAACCCAAAACTATAATCTTAAGTAATTGGATTCTTGTCTAGTTGTTGGTACTATTACGACGTTATATAGAATATCTCGATCTACTGACATCAAATGTACTATGTGCTTATATATAAATATATGTATATTGAATGTATGTATGTATTTGTCTCTTATCCTATGACAAACTAAAAACGCGCTATTTGATGTAAGAACCTTAACTATAATGAATAATAACGAGACGAAATGAAATATATATATATATATATATATATATATATTATGATATACTAGATCGAATCTAAGGTAACCCTAATTTAATTCCACATTGAATGTAATTGGGCTCTTCCTTTATCAATCAACACAATTTTTTTTTCGGCTTAAAATAAAATATACATATTTGTGATATATACACCTACACACTACTACTATGATAATTGTGTATGTTTTTTTTATTATTATTATTATTTTTTTTTTTTTTTTTTTTTTT